ATGTTCGGTAGTCATTGTGATTCTTTATTTTCGGTGACGGGAAGAAAGACGTCCATGCTGCGGAAGTGAATCACTGTCATCGCTGCGCTGCACCAATCCTTTGTCCTCTTGAATTACTGCTGTCAATAGGAGATGGCTGGAGTGAAGAAGAGTGAGAAATTGATAAGCCGCGCCAGCATCGTGCACCGCAATCGCGTTCACGCGCCTTCACTGCTAGTTTCCCGTGTTTGTGGTGGTCATCGTAGCTGTTGAACTCATGAGACGAAAAGATATTAGAGGGCGTTTTCTCCCTAAGAACCTTTTTCTAGGAAAACCCAGCGGAACATCAGAAGTAATTCAACCGCATCTGATCTTTATTCCGGGAAATAAGCCGTTTATTTGAAGATAGTCGAACAAAAGAAGTGCAGATTGAGAGCTCAATTAGACAGAGATATATTGGTGTTGTTGTTAAGTTTATTTGTTAATTTAGGGAATTCTAAAGAATCTGTGCGCGTTAGAACACCGAGGCTAACCATGAGACATTAAACGACATCGAAAGGGCCTTAGTATGTGCGTTCTTATCCTCGTATATATTCATAATTTCATTCAACGCTTTTATTGTGTGATTCCTCTTGCATACGCAATCATGTCGCGCTGTCAATCTTTTTCAGGAGTAAAACTTTTTGTCCTGACAGAGGAGAAGTCATGCGAATCTGTCCGCTCCATTTATTTAGGGCGGAGACCGGAAAATTAATGAAGGAAACTTCAGGACACGAGCGTAACTCAAGTTACTAACATAAGTTACTAACATAACTGACGCAATCACCCGTGAGGTGTCATACATATATTTATATCGGATTGGCGTACTGTCATTAGGTGGCCAGACCATGCCGCTGCACTGTTGCGACGTCGTAACCGTCCTTCCCCTCCTTCTCCTCTTCCTGTTTCACGAAAGTTATGTCTTATGTAATACACAAGGTAAGCATTGCTTCGGTAGGTCAATAGTTTGGAAGTCGTATGAGTTTAATGTCTTCGAGACGGGCTTCGCTAAAGTTACTGTCCGTGGTCGTGTAATCATCATATTTAACTTAAATGCATACACTTTCTGACAAAGCTGTACATTTACGTCATTCAGCAGTTCTACTCCGGGGATCGGACTGATCTCCTAGTCCTTAACATAACACCACTTGATTTACTCTATGTAAGCTTATTCGCATAGTTATCTCATATTTTTACAGGCACAACAAGTTTTAGCGTACTCGGGCAACAAACTGGCTCAGTGATGCAAGCTATGCTAGTCCCCAGAAGATATCCCACATGTGTGCCTCTATATTTCATCTAAAACAAGTTTTGTCATGCGTCTCGACATTACAATGCCCTTGCATCACTAGAAGCGTCGGTTTTGTCATATAAAACACAATTTTCTCACTCGGGCACAACAATTGCTCTTGGCCTGTGAATATGTCGGTGCGGACAATGCTCGACAAGATATTTTTGGAAAGATGTACTGACTGAGAGTTTTTAAGAGGCTTACTTTAGTACAATTGTAGCTTTTGAAACGCTTACTGTCGTCAGGTGACAACAAGTCCGCCTAGGATGAGGCGATTCGACGATCGCGCTTGAGACCTTCAGTTTGAGGAGACGATCCACGTTTCGAGGCCACTACCATCACCACGACCACCACCACCACCACCACCACCACCAGCACCACCACAACCACCACCACCACCACAGTGCTACGAGCTCAAACCCTGCTGATCCTAGTTACAGTGCGTGACCTATCTCATGAAATGTTGGCTGAAATTCTGAAATGCGTTTTCGATTAGGAAGGATTACTTGGTCGCGGTTGTGATACTGATTATTTTAAGGCATACTCTAATAACATTTTGGACTTGGCAGGATGTCGGCTTTTAAATGCGCTTCTTTTCAATTTCCTGTGGAAGGCGTGCCTAGTAAAAAATAACTACTTAAATAGCATGCATTTTCCCATTGATTTTCGATGGTCTTGGAAATTCAAATATATTTTATAGAAACCACAAACAAAAACATGCTTTCTTTCAAGCAGTTGATAGAGGATCACATCTTATTTATATTTTATACTCAAGGAAGGTATATAATTAGGTTTTAAAAAAGTTTTCTTATTGCCGAATAAATTGGAGCCTGATCATTCGCTGCATTAGCGCTTAGTGATTACACTCGACAAGGTGCATGCGTTCCGCGTAAAGAAAATCCCATATTTTTTCTATGTCATTAAAGAGATATCATACAGGGTCCACAAAATTTTGCAATGGATGCGGACCATGATGTACATTTCATGAGGAGCACTGGTAAACGGCCAGGTACGATGTTATGTGAATGGACATATCGCGGTCTTAAAAAGTCTCATAATTAGAAACTTTTTTAAAACCTAATTATACTCCTTCCTTAAGTATAAAATATAAAGAAGATGTGATCCTCTATCAACTGCTTGAAAGAAAGCATGTTTTTGTTTGTGGTTTCTATAAAATATATTTGAATTTCCAAGACCATCGAAAATCAATGGGAAAATGCATGCTATTTAAGTAGTTATTTTTTATCAGGCACGCTTTCCACAGGAGATTGAAAAGAAGCGCATTTAAAAGCCGACATCCTGCCAAGTCCAAAATGTTATTAGAGTATGCCTTAAAATAATCAGTATCACAACCGCGACCAAGTAATCCTTCCTAATCGAAAACGCATTTCAGAATTTCAGCCAACATTTCATGAGATAGGTCACGCACTGTGTGTCAGTATGCCCATGTGATCGCAGGCAAGAGCCTACAAAGGAGGAGGGGGGGGGGGGGACAGAAAAAGATACGAACGACTACCGACCTAGAGAGAAACCACTTCTGGGGGCTGCCCACCAGCCAACTTGGCGGTGCCCCAGAAGGCGGATTGAGCTTGCGATCCTTGAATACATAAAAAGACATGAGGGCTCAGAGCCGTCTAAAAAGGGTGTGCATCTCTAAAGTCTTCTTTTTTTCTTACCAGACTGCAAGGCTAAAGATCTCGTTCCTGGAAAGTCTGGTGTTGTCGAATCCCACGCACTGTATGGCAGCCAACCCTACCCATCAAATGCTTTCTGCACACATAAAATCATGGTTGATCCTCATTATGACATTGTATTCACTGTTGAAGAGCTGGACATTGAATCGAGCAATCAGTAAGTGGATTTTCCTCATATTCCTGTTCATTGCGATGGCATCGTTCTTTCCTTTTCATGACCGTCGAAGTAATTCGGGCTGCAAGAGGGTTTACAAGTTCACTAGTTAAAGAACAGGCTCTAGGCCTGAATAGGTCATTGTAAAATAAATCACCACAGTGTTTAGGTGAATAATTTCCGAAAATATAAGGCCTCTCATCGGAAACACTAACCAAACAAGTATATTTGTCCGATAGCACTTTTATTATTCTCTTATTGGCCAGGCTTATACGGCGGGAAGTCAAGAATAAGCTGCTTAGTAAATCGACGATTCTAGCAGAGCTGTGCATAGAATATATAGTGAGTAAATATGATGAAATTCACTCCTGGGTCCGAATTTCAGGTGAGTAAATGCGGCAAACATCAAAAGAGTTTCGTTAAGCGATTTTGGCTCTGAACCCCCAGTCTCTGTGAGAGGATAAGTTGATGGGTTTCATTAAGGGGTAAACGAGGACCATCTTGAGGTCGGTGCACCGCTTTGCCGAGTGTCCATTTACTAACCAGAGCCTGGGTAGAGAGTCAATGGATACGCACACCTGCTCAATTTATAAATGCCGCATCGATGGTGCTGAAGCGGTGCGCTGACTCATCTACTTACACCGGATGTTGGCGTTGGGTTCCAGTCATTGTTTCTAGTATTCATACTGCTGGATCTGCAGATCCCACCAGCCCTTCCCGAAGTATTTGAAGTCTGGGAGCTTATAGCCGATAATTCAAGAGTCAACGTCAGTAATTATCTGTGAGACAATTTTTCTTTTGATTGCGTATAAGCTCGGCGGATTATGAGACCTGTACGGGTTGGTCTAGAACAACCATTGTTTAAACAACTGGTTATTTAGGTTTCCCAATAATATATCAATGGTGTCGACAAATCTGTCAATGATAACTGCGTTCCGATTCTTGAATGGCATACTCGGGTCAGAGCGGGGAGTGCGGTGTTCCGTAAGATCTCCATCAACAAGTATAAACTCTGACGAACCAAGGTGAACTTTTGCATTTCAGGTGTATGTAGGTGTTGGCAAGGATAAGACCGTTTGATCGCCGGAACCATTTATTGGCCCATCTGAGCATTGAAAATCATACAGGCGTCCATCGTCAGGGTTAAAAATGGCAGCAAAACAAGCAACAGTTATAGGGGTATCGGCTAATCCAGCATCAGTGACGCCAGTCCAGAGGTGACTGCTCAGGACTCTGTATACCGGCCGCAGATCGATACATCAATTGTCTGAAGCCCATGCTTCGGCCAGTTCGCGGTTTTTCGCACTTATGGCGTGAACGATTACCTTCACGGCTCTGAAGGTGAACTCGTGACCCGTTGCGGGGGTGTGGGCAGCCACTTATAAAGATTCATCACCTCGTCGCACAGCCAGTTTGTGTTCGTGTACACGCGATCCTAGGAGGCGTTCGCTCTGACCTGAGTAATTATAAGGACATTTTAGGCAGGGGATGTTATACACTACACCCGACCGCTCACTAGGATTTAGCCAGTCCTCGATTTTCATGTCCCTGCTACGCGTGGTAGCTTTCGGCCGGTGTGCTGTTCCGATACCCAGTCTGCCAGCCATTCACTCGGTCGGTCACCTCTGACCCGTCCTTAGTGTATGGTAGAGCATGCCACGGCATAGGTCTCTGAGATACCGGGCCTTGCGGACTTTTTCTGCCGGACGACTGCAATGCGTCTGCATCTGTTCGAAGAGCGTTTTCACACAGCTTCTTTTGTGAGCCACCGGATGGTTTCTAGGGAAACTGTGAAGCTGCGTGATGTTTGTCGCCGTCCTGTAAACCGCTGTTTCCATATCGACATTGAGGGCATCAATAAAGTGCACCTGTTGCTCCTTTTCTTCTTCTGTCCTGAATTGTTTACCTGGGAAGACTGAATTGAGCCATGAATTTTTTGTTTAGAAGCCAGCCTGGATACTGCGGGGCCTCCTCGATGTTTATTTTTGATGTTATGGTTGATTGTGATAAGTGAGGTATACAGATCTGGGCTGACTTCAGAAAGAACTGAACGCACAGGATTGGGCACTTGAGCCCGGGATACCACAAAGCGGTTCAAGTAGAGGACTCTGCTATCATGAGTCACACGGGCGTCGTTCCAATTCGTGGCTGTTGCGTCAGCTACTAAGTGATGGGCCTTTGTTCGACTGGGATCCTGCATCACTTTAGTTCTCGTTGACATCTACGAGTGCTGGTGCATCAGACGGTCGGACGCCTTATCTGACATTAGACCCGAGTTGGGCTGGGGACTAACACCCGAGCACCCGGGGTAGATCGCTGAGTCAGCCAGCGCCAGGGGCATCATGACCTTAAGGCCAGGTCCCCAACAGGAACAGAATCTGGGTGGGCCAGTCGAGGTAGCACTGCATTCTCTACAGAATAGACTTGGAAATGGAGCGAGTTGACGGTCAGACGAGAGGCGCACGTTCAGCGTTGTCGGAACAGGCTTCCGAGTGCCAGCAAGGCCGGTGTCAGAACGCCTCACAATTACGTTAGTACTCGGGTTTTATGACTGGGATTTAAGGTCTAGGATTAGGGTTTTGAGTGACGCTTAGGGTTAAGGTTAAGGGTTGGATTTAGAGTGTGAATTACGGTTTAGGGTTAGGGTTGGGTTTAGTGTTAGGGTCTACAGTTAGTGATTAGGTGTAAGGAATCATTCGGCACCCACTTCTCACAACTTCTGCCTGCGACTTACGTCTGATTGGTCCCATTCTTTGGTGGTTCAGTCTCAATGACCTTGACGGGCTAATCACCCTTAGTCTTCGTGGAATTGGTTTTTCTGGTTACCTATTTCTCAGCAGAGCTGAGTTTCCGAGCCTTGTCGGAAAACTTGTGTTTACAGATGCTCCACCGCACATATTCGTATGCGTTGCTTTAGACTTACAGCTCACACAGGAAAACAAAAAGTTTATGGCAAATTGAAATGTGAATTTACTTTCACGTCCAGATAATGCAGCAGAATTCCTCTTATTCTATAGTGCTTAGTTCTCCATTAAAGGCCTCCTAATGAGCATGAACACACACGCAAGCATTGGTTTTGGGGTTAATATTTACTGACTAGCCCGTCAACTAAACGCTACCGGTCTATTCCTTGGCTCGAGTTACCAATCCTATGATCATGTATCAGCAGGTGAACCTGCCTAATCGTAGTTAGCAGTTGAATGAGGCAACTGATGCATTACCTACCCGCACTGAACAGAATTGTGTTAATGCAAGATTTTAATAATACAGAAGTGATCACTCTCTCTATTAAATTGTGTGCTACATTACGTCAACAATAAGAATACGATGCACACGTTGTAGTTCAGCGAACAGGAGGGATGCACATAGTCGTTTAGTCCTCCTGGCTCATACACCGTCCTACCCTTGCATTCTCCATCCTGGTGACAAGCACAAATACACCAAATTGAGCTCCCCCCTGTAACCGACGGTTTTCGGAGGTTATAACCTCAGAATAGGGTTGGTGACGACATTGGAAACTACCTGGATACGTAGAAGTCTAAGTCAACAAACTCCATGAACATTTAAAATCAAGTAAGGAAGGGCTTATGCAAAGGCGTTGTACAGTGTCCGTTAAAATATCATGAAAACTTCCACCTGTCAGCACTACCCCCTCTTTCCCCCCCCCTTCATCCCCTGGCTTAGATGCATCTTCGACTACGTGGATGTCCACTCCGCGGACGGGAAAGAACAGCAACGTCTGTGCGGCAACGAGATTCCCGGCTATCCCATTGTCATCCACAGCTCCAGCGCGGACGTCGAATTCGCTTCAGACGGCAGCGGCAACGGTCGCGGCTTCCGGCTCTCCTGGGCGGCTCGGGAGCGCCCACGGTTCGCGTCTGGCGATGGAAATTCCGCCTGTGGCAAGGCCCCACCCCGACTCCTGTCGCTGAACCAACGTCGTCGGATTATTGGAGGCGAGAAGGTCGCGGCCGGCCAATGGCCTTGGCTGGTATCTCTCTGGCGCGGCTCCAAGTTTATGTGTGGAGCTAGTCTACTGAACCGTCAGTGGGTGCTGACAGCGGCTCACTGCTTCAGAGGGTACGTCAAGCAGTGCACCAGTTACTCCTTACTTCAAAATGCCCCTCTCACAACAGCCTCCCACACTACCGGCCAATCAGAATTAGACTTCGTCGGTTTTTGGACTTTTCGAGTACTTGGGTGACACATGACATTTTCTTATCTTTTCACGACTGCCCTGAGAATGTCGGTATCTCCACTTAAATATGTTAGCGAGAGCTTTCATAATATAAACACTTTCGGTCGGATCTCAGTTCGTAGCCGTACCTGCAATAGACAGGCCCCAGCCTGACCCCTAACCCCTAACTTCTAAACCCTAGCCCCTAAACCCAAACCCTTACCTCAGTCGCAGAAAGACCGCAGTTCGTAGCCTGGCTTAATGAGTCGATATCGTTGGCGTACTTGCTTGTTATCAGTAGGCGCGTTAAATTATGTTCCGCTGTTTGCCGGCGTCGGTCAAGTTGGGGTGCTAGGAATTCGACATTTTCGGGAACGTACGGCTACGAAATGGGATCTTGCCACACTTTTAGTTATTTTTTACGCGATAAATGCTGTATGCTGTCCTTAAATGTGATGAAGCTTACCACTTCGAAAGATGACGGTTAAGTTTATAAGCATAAGTATAACACCATCTGGTGTGGAAACCGTCGGAATCTCGAAGTCTACAGTATAATGAGACCAATTTTAACCGATGACTACTTTATAAATAATTTTGTCAGCAAAATCTTAAGAAGAAGTTTATACCCCAACTACATTAACAAAGCATTCAAATTATCAGTAATAACAGTAAGCAGCCCATCTCATGAAATACTGATGGAAATCCTGAAATACCTTTTCAACTGGAAGGGAATTCTTAAATTGGGTTATAAGACTGATAATCATGTAGAATAATCCTCTGCCATGCCAGGGAGCTGTCACCTGAATGCACTTATTTTCGGGAACCTGCTAAAACCTCACTCGATAAAAGAAGGACTACTTAAGTGGTATGCATTTTTCATAGATGCTCGATGTCCTCATTAATTCAAAGGTATTTTATAGAAAAAATGCTTAAAATATCCTTTCGTGCATGCGTTTGATAGGAAATCAAATCGTCTTCAAATTTTCCTTTGAAAGAAGGGGGAGATACTTCAACATTCAATCCGTTTTCCAGTTTCCGAATCATTTTGGGTTCGATTTGACTTTATACCTGTCTTTAGGGTATCCGAACTACAGGTTGTATGCTATCTGTGCAAAAAATCGCCTATTATTTCATACCACTTAGAAGGTACCAGATAGAACTCACGTATTTTGCAATGAATATGAACTTATTTTCATACTTAACAAGAAACATTAAAAAACGGACAGATACGATCTTATTTGAATACATATTTCACGGTCTTAAGGTCTCATAATTACGAACTTTTTAAACCCATAGCCACCATCTGTCGCGTATGAAGTTTTAAGAAGACGTGATTTGCTATCTACTGAGTAGAAGGAAGGATACTTTTCCACATTTTTCCTAGAGTATATTCGAATTCATAGGTGTACTGAAAATCGAGGGGAGAAAATCATACTAATAAAACAGACACGTTTTCCCAAGTGTGTTGTTTTGCAAGTGATCGAAAATAAGTGCATTCGAAATCCGGCATTTTAGCGTGACTGAAATATCTTTATTTCGCACGGTTATCGGTAATATATCCCCAATTAAATAATTCTTTCTAATCGAAAGTTCATTTCCGAGCGCATGTAATGTTAAGCCTAGATACGACATCAATGATGGTTTTAAATAGTTCAGGCGAAAACTATCTTCTGATGTGAATCTTGAGCAATAAGTAAATGTTGCTCATACGAGGAATGACATCCTCTACCGAGGAAATATTAGACATGCATTGCTGTTTAGAGTTTTAAGGGGAAAACACCGACTATTCAGTATCCTCTGACAAAATCCGTATGCAAAGGGCACTAATTTATTTTTAGCTAAACAAGCCACCACGAGTTGGGTGTCTTATCCGAAACCACATGTGAGCTGTGAGCAACTTGAAGTAAAACAGTCTCCCTAAGCTCTAATTATCCAGCATATAAGTGGGGTTTAAAAGTATAGGAAGTGACATTCGACGAATTCCTAGTGGCAGACAGCCGCCATTTCATGTGCAGTTCCGTGAATAATTAGTACTTTCAAGAAAATATGTACACTAACAGTTCTTCCAACAGTAATGAACAGACTTATTTGTCGCCACAGCGAGCGACGCCCTAGATTCGCTGACCAAAGACGTGGGGGGAGGCAGGTAAACACATGACACGCGCTAATCTGACTGCGCAGAGTCCGTGGGAGCACAGAGCTACTGTCGTATACGGGAATGTGCTGGCACGCCTAGGCGTAGGCTCCATGTCGCGCCAGCCACTGCACCCAATCCCAAAACCCGATCGCGGAGAGGCTCAGACTTTGAGCCGGAACATAGGATAGGTTAGAAGAGAGGGTGAACTTGACCCGGGTGACCCCATCCCCAAGACACACCAGTGTGCTCCTCATTAAAGTAACTCTGACTTGTTTGGATCCCTATCCCACGCGCCGAAAGTCGTAGCTTGGAAGACTGGAAACTGATGGGGTAACTTCACCGTCTTAGGATTGAGAGTCAGGCCCAGTGAGCTTTGTGGTACTCTCATTTGGGTATGACCCGAGCCCCACCTGTGAAGGCTTGATAAATTCTGTGAGTTCAGATCGTGTGTGTGGCACGCGTAGGCGGGCTGTTTAGTCTTTCAGTCCCGTGCTCACGTCCACCTCCGATTGTCCAATCATCCTCCTGCTATCAGCGCAGGGCGGAAGGGGAGTGGAGAGTACGGTGGACGCTGTGCTAGTCCGCCTCGCTAGAAACTAAATTACGCGCAAGTCCTGCTCCCCGCCGTTCTACGGGGCACACTGGGCGTCGTCGTTCGCAGCTGTTGAATTGTCGATTACAGACCAACGCCGTATAATAGACCTCAGCATTTAGACGCAGGATAATGAACGTACGCCTATGTTATTCTACCATGAGTAACAAATACTTTGAAAAACCGTGTTACTCGTAAGTTGTTCACTTTTTCAGGTGCTTTCATTAAAAGTGAAATCACAGTAGAGGAGATGAGTTGGGAAAATTAAAGCAGTGTAAATGGGTCATGCTTTAATTTTTGAAAATGCTAACTACTTTTTGGCACGCGGTAGTTACCAGGCCTGTTGTTAAATTACCGAACACAAGTACGGTGAAGAGGCCTCTTTTAATAGCGTTACATTTTCATGCTCAGTAAGATTTCAAAGGTGTTGCTACCGGACTGGGGAACCCAAAACTGTGAGAGAAACTTATTCCCAGAGACAAACACTAGACCACAACCCATCGATCGTAAGCAGGGCGCTCAGCCATGGCCTCACATCCAGCTGTACGACCTAACGGAAATTTCCTACAGCAGACCGCACGGAAGGGGTGAGTCCGGATTGCACTTTAACAAGCCGTTAAGGCTCCGTATCTTGTCAGATGTGTCATTTGGCTTCAGAAATCTTACAGATGGCCGACAGTGAGCGATATGTCAGTCTTCTTTGACACAGCATTCCATGCTGACAGCCGGCTGAGGCTGCACTATTAATAGGAGGACGCTTTGAAAAATAGGCCCTAATGATGTTGTAACAGGCGGCCTGTGGTCGCGACAAACCGTAGCATAGCCTTCGTGGCACTCTCACGAACATGAGATCCGGGCTGTCCCTGCTTTAGGATAACCGGCGGAAGCAGGCCGTGTGTGGCACGCGTAGACGGCCCGCGCCGAGCCCGCCTGCGGTCGTCCTGACATTTTCTTCCCACCAAAGTCCGGTGCGGGACGGGGGGGAGAGTGCGGCAGATGCTAGGTAAGTCTGTCTCGTCTTAAAATAATTCAAGGCAAATCACCGGTGCTGCACCCATTCCGTGGGACGCCGTCGGCTGTGACAGACGAACCCTCATGTGAACAAACCGATTCACCGATGCTACTTCTGCTTAAAGGCTTTCCTTCGATATGGTTCTGTTCTAATTGTGCAGTCGAATTAGCTGAATTGCCGAACAAATTCATCAATTAGACAGTATGTTATTACCGACAAAGACAAGGGAGACTGGAATGGCCATTTCTGGCTTATAAGTCGTCGTCAGCCAGTCATCCCCGACCCCGAAGTGTGGCACATTCGAGGCTCGAACTCGCGATCTATTAGTTAGAAGTCTAATGCCTCTAACCATTGGGCCAGTGCCTATATCATGCGCCGCTGTGCGGCTGCTGGTTGGGCTCGAGAGAGAGCCCGTAACGCACATTGGAACGAGTGAGTTCTGTAAGAACAATCGGTGAGCGCCCCCTACCAACTTCATCATTGACAAATGGCTAACATAATGCAAGTTGGATTACATACTTTAACTAGTGTTTATAAAGATCACCGACTTTTTACTCGACTATTGACAGTCGTCAGTTATAATTGACTCCCACGACTTCTTCCCAGATCCTCAGCAGGTGACACCTCGTGGGTGGCAGTGGTGGGAGACTTCAATCTTGAGTGGGACGATGGAGAGGAGCACGTGATTCCCATCGCGGAAATAGATATTCACCCCAAGTTTGAGCAGCGCCAGGCCTTCGATTTTGACGCTGCGCTCCTGAGACTGGCCCAGCCGGTCAACTACTCGTACGCCGTCCAACCGGTCTGCCTGCCGGTGGCAGGCTTCAATCCGCCGACCACGGCGCGAGCCGGGGCAGCAGTGGCCAGGAAGCGCGCAGCCATTCCAGTGGAGCCGGTTCCGGCGGTGCCAGCTGATGATGAGGAGGAGGAGGAGGAGGAGGAAGACGCGCCAGTCCTTGCAGGCACGCGATTGGCTAGAAAGCGGCCGCGTGAACTCTTGCGTTACAGGAGGGCTGCTGAGCCCGCCGCCAGCGACCACATGGCCTGTATCGTTGCTGGATGGGGGAAAACGGAGGGTGAGCGATTTAACTAGCGGTCGTATGCGAGCAGCAGACAGGGACAAACAATTTTACTTCTGTTGTTCAAACCCTCCTCCCCAAGACTGACTCAAAGTAAAGACTGAGGTGCACACGTTAAATCGGACTTCAACAGCTGAGCAACGGGGTAGCAGGGCAGTTGCTCACTGCAGTTAAACTTGGGCTTATTAGGTCAGACGTGGGGATACGAACTCCCCCCTCCCCGTATTACGGATGGCCATGCGTCAGATTCCAGGGCAAACCTGTGCCCCTGTCGCAACCTTAACCCTCATAGTCATTACCTCACAGCACCAGTCCTGACTCCAACCTCCATGAAGGTAAGATCGTGTGCAATACGGGGGTCATGATTCGCGTGTGCAACTGCTTATTTTCCTGTAGATCAAAGAGGTTACGCAGAAGGTAGTTCGGAGGTCCAGTTAAGTGCTAAAACTTTCTTCTGAACGTTCATTGTCATCATTACATCACGTTAGATATGAACTTCTGAATTAGTCAAGATGCAAGGAATTGTTAAATTGCCGAGTCCTTCAGTAAGCACTTGCTTCATTTTTTCAAGGGTCAATCTTCAGCATAAGTGACACCGCCAAGAGCAACACAGAACAAATTCAAGTTGTACCTGCAAAGGCAGCGTGCTTAAGAGACATCATTGAAGGTGTAGTCAGAATAACTCTGGAGATGGTTGGTAGTTCGTACTTTTAGTCCTCTCTGAAGGTTGTATTAGTTTAAAGTGGCCTAGTCAGTTTGCAACGGACTATCGATATGTCCAAAAGCGCCCTGTTCCATAGCAGTGCATAAATGATCTCGAAATATGTACATATGGGGCGAGAACTAGATACGTAAGTCCACCGAGAAACTAGAACGCAAGGACTCCTTTAGTGCGCAAAGGCTTTTAACTTTGGTTTGTCAGGAGAAGAGATGGATATGGTAAGTGGCGAAAGCTACGGTAGACAGTGAAATACTCCCATTCCCACCATATGTTTGTTTAATTAATACAGCAGGCTACAGAAACAGACCGCGCAATTCGTAAGATCAGTATCAGTATCAGTATCAGTATCAGTTTATTAAGGGAAATATAGGCAAGCGCCTTTGAATTCCCTCTTGGTTACAAGTCGTCGGAGAAAAACATTGATAAATGGGAAGGTGAAAAAGGGATTTTGTACATACTCGCGGACAGCTGCCAGCTAGCCGAAAAAGAGTAATCATTAATGGTTACTTACTAATTACAAGTAGTATAAACACATATAAGAGGAATACCGGGTTATGTGAGTGGATGTGGGGGTGGCAATTGGGAAGCTTGATGCAGGTCAAGTCTACACTTGAAGGAGTTCACACAGGAGGAGGTTACAACGTCGGTAGGTAGGGCATTCCAGGCTGCAACCACTCTGTTACTGAAAAAGGACTTTCGTCCATTGGTTCTTGATTTCCCTGCGCGTAGTTTCAGGGGATGACCGCGCAAATTGGGCGTGTTAGCTTGGGTGAAATAATCAGTGGGATCTAAACAACAGTCTAGGCCGTTGATGATGCGAAATGTTAGTATAAGGTCACCACGTAATTGCCTGTAGGAAAGGGGAAACAGGTTGAGGATTGACAGTCTGGTTTCATAGGGCAGTGCTCCCAGACCTTGTGTCATTTTGGTCGCCCGTCTCTGGACCTTCTCCAAGACGGTATAATCCATGGCAGTCCAGGGTCTCCACGCCTGTATGGCGTATTCTAGATGTGAATAAAAAGCGCGTCAAAGGGTGGAAACAGGTTATTTATGGTTATTCATGTAAGGTAGGCCGTAACGTGTAAGACCTTATGCGGCAAAAAAGTTACTTCTGGATCTGACCCTTTTCTTAGTCGCAATCTTTGATTTAACCCTAAGCTAAACTCCCAATGTGGTAAGTTCCGCTGGCCCTGACCGCAACCCTAAACTTTATATAACATGCCTACGTAAATAAATTAAGTAGGCATGTTATAAAACTGAAACATAGGATACATGTTGGTCGCCAAAACAGTTTGAGCGATACATGCTTTTTCTTCCGTCAATAGTTTCAATGGACCTGGACTCAAAGGTGTTTAAGTTTGTGCCTTACGGTGGCGTTCAGTAAAACTGTGATGTCCAACGTAGTGTTGCGTTAACTGTCACAATCCCAGCGATGTAAGAGAGCTGCAGGAGGTGTTTATTCTGTGCACAACCCCCAGAGTTTTCTTACTGGACCCTGGACGACTGGTGGGGCCTGCATACACGATGGCAGGGGCTAAGCATGTAGAACCTCCCTGCAAGAATACAACTATTGAAATTGCGCGCACGATTCTTCTGTAGTGATTTCCTATCAGCGGAACAAACTAAAGCGCTGTCTTTTTGCAAGTGAATGTCATGCAGATCAGCTTAAAAGAGGGAGTGGTGAGTGTTTAGACGGCCATCATGATACTGCCCGCAGACGCCCACGGATGCCCGCAAAGCCATAGGAGTTAGTCCACGCGAAAGGGATCTCTAGTGTAGGTTCCGTGTGTTACCAAGCGCTATATACACTCACCCGCCACTGTCATTCATTAGGGACAGCGCATTAAGAAAATACCCGAATACCGGCTTGGTTGCAAGATGTTCTCCTGATATCCCAATAAATGTTTCTTCCATTATATTTATTCAGTACACAACCAAACTATATTGGTCGCACGAGTCGGCGCTCATCCAAGAGAATACGCGAACACCTCCCGGCATGGCTGGGAAAAGGAGGAACGAGGAGTATAAGCAGCACCATTCTCGCGCATGTTGTCGATTCCGGACATCGTGTGGACCCCAACGAAGCTTTTCGTGTGATTTATAAGGTCCCATCGAGCTAACCTAATCTACTAGGCCAGCGCCTGTTAGCAACAGCGGAAGCGGCCGCCACTAGGTTGCGAAAGCCAATTACGTGCGCACAGAAGAGCCACGTTCAGGATCCGCGCCTACAGTGGTCGAAGGTCGACTAACGGTGCAACTCCCCCCGCGCACTTCCGCTCTCACCCCGGCCCTGACAATGACTACTATTAGTCCCCCCCTCCCCCACATTTTCACACCCCGCCTGTGTTGTAAGGGGAGCTTTTATCGATTTCTCTTATCGCTGACATGCTTTACCGTTCCTAGATAACTGTACCGACCCGACGATAATTTATCGAAAGCTACGTATGCTCGCCACCTCGTCTTCCAAACTATATGCCCGGCGTCGAAGTCGATTTACTGCAGATCTGCTCGTCCAGCTCCGATCGGACATTTAGCAACTTCCTAATGTCGCAAATAGCCCACCCGACTTGTGCTAATTAAGACTGATCATGCAGAGGACATCATCTCTCTGTGTACATCACAAGACCATAACCACATAGCCATTTTCCAACAAACATCTTTGGTTCTCCAATAAATGTCGGCATTCGCCCGTCCAGACATGTGTACAATCGAAGAAACTAGACTATAATTACAGCTGTTCAAGGATGCATCAGGAAATCCTAAAGTACATCGCAATATCACAACTTTGAGTGGGCAAAGCGCGAAAAAGTTTCTTCTTCCATAACACTGTCAGGCTGCCTTCTTGGAAACTCTTTTTGTCAGCTTCAATGGGCTTTCTTGGTGAGACCCCCCGGAGCCCAAATATATACTGAATTTTGACTAAGGGGAGTCAAGAACGAGCCACTCTAAGTAACAAATATGCGTCCCAAAGTGACGGCACCGCAAAATTCTTACACAAACCGTCAAATCCATAATTATAGCCTGTACGTGGAACTTTTAAAAGAGGCTTCTGTCTTTATTGGACCGTCTAGACCAGTCCGTGTCCCCGACTGTGCGTGACCTCGTAGTGCCCGTGCTGGACGTGGAGGTCTGCAATAAATCTGCGGCCTACAGTGGTCACGTGACCGACGCCATGCTGTGCGCCGGCCACCTGGAGGGCGGAAAAGACGCCTGTCAGGGAGACAGCGGAGGGCCACTAATGTGCCGCAAGGCCAGTGAGGACTCCTGGACCCTCGTCGGCATCGTTTCATTCGGAAAAGGCTGCGCAGGTAAACAGATTAATCCAATTACGTGTGTGTGTGTGTGTTTTTTTTGGTTGTGATCTCAGAACGGGCCACGTGTTAGATGCGCTGGACCAACACGGGGGCCACATCGGACTCTGGCAGGCGTTATCTGTGCGCAATAACAAATGCCAACATTTGCGGGGTGCTCTGGCAGACCCGTGGTCGGCAGTAGTCGCATAACTGGACAACTGCCATCACCCCATTGTTTTGTGGTCAAAATCCTGGTCATTTGTTTGTGGACCAGGGGGTGTGGTGGAACGCCTAGGTGAGGATCCGTCCGAGCCATCCACCTGCGGCCTCCCCCGTCTCCGGTCTTCTTGACTCTGTCTTGACACCGGGCCCAGGCGGGGGAGGAGGAGAGAGTGTAGGTAGATGCTACGCAAGTCTACTGGCACTATAAACCCCTGCGTAAGTCACCGTCCCTGCTCCCACAATGAAGTCTGTGGGGCACACGGTGGACATCGTCGAAATCGACGGTCGAACTGTCGTGTTTTGGTTGAATTTTGATTCAGGTAAGACAGCAGGGACTGAGAACAGCAAGTCATTTTTCAACCGGCTTAGCTGGGAGCGATTCTCGAAAGCAAGTGGACCGGGTCTTAGTGAAAGAAAAGGGGACTTAATTAACTATTAGAGCTATTACTGCTCTCTCTACTGCGCGGGTTCGGCACTCAAACGTTGAATGCCAAAAGGCAAGAAGGCCTGAAGCAGATGCTCACAACTCAACAATACTCAACATCTGTAAATTAGTAAAGCTCAACGTCGAATTTAAAATCAGAAGGACCACTTTTCAACGAACAGAATCGCAGCTCCCTGGATTATCAGGGAGAGCGTTGTAAAAAACGTGGATTTTGCTTCCACTGCGGTTCGAGTTTATTCCACCAGTGTCAGAGACATCGCATTGTCAATTTCACCATCTATACATCCTTATTCTCTTAGGCTTTCCGTTACTTGGTACTCTATTCCGATTTCTCCGTCAGCGGTTTACTGTGAAATAACCCGCAAACCGAAAGAACGAACGAAGGGAAGTTTGTCTGGAGTACATTAGGACTGCTCATCATACGGCTTCAGTCGGATACCTGACGTTGCTGCGGGGCTGGTAGAAATGGCAATCGAGAAACACTGCCAACGAGAAGAAGAGATACTGGAGCGGCTTGTTTTGACATAATTACCGATGTGAGTCAGCTATACACAAGCCCCAGACCTGGAAGACTTGGAACTGAATTCAAATGTCCGCTCTTGACAGCCCTGTGTGCGAATGTGGTTGACTAACGACGAAAAATAGGCGATAAATGGTTATTAAAGATAGTTAGCTTTTACGGCAATAATTAACGATTACTGATTGCCCCTTGTTGTGTGGTCTTTTGTGGGGACTCGAGAAGGAATCTGTGGTGTACCACGAGTATATCCGACCGACGAACTCCACTCCCCTGAGAGGTCATCAGATCTAATGTTCAGTGTCGAGAAAAAATTAATTCATATTGACCCAACTGTGAAAAACTCGGCGCCTCGGTGGGATTCGAACCCACGCAGTAAGGGGGCAGGCTTTAGTACAGCCAGCGCTCTAACCACCTGAGCTACGAGGCCCCGCCGGACGACGCGAGTTTTAATTAAAAAGTAATTTGTTTGTCAGTGAGCCACCCGTCCACAATGATAGCAACCGGATTAGCAAATCAAATTCTTTGGCGTAGATTGACCAATCACTTGGCTCATCCACTAAGGTGGGCCTGGTGGTGAGCTAACAACGCACGATTACTTGAAATTCACAAAACGGCGAGTTTCTAAAACATACAAAAACCTGTATTTAGGATAGCGGAGATTCAGTGTCAACTGCACCGGTCTAAGGGTGAGAGAGCGAGAGAGGGCAAGATGTGAGGGGTCAATTTTTTCCCGATTCGTGCGTGAAATCTTCTTTTCATGGGGCACTGGCAACCATGTCCGTGCCCGCCCGTGTTCTACCAGGGGACAGAGCGATTTCCATGTTAACAACACTTAATATTCCTCTTTCTTTGGGACAAAAGCACACTCTGAACATCAAGGCGGGACTATGATGAGTCAGTAAAGAGCAGCGGGAGAAGTTAGCCAATCAGGAGTGCTGTTGACAGCCCATCGTCAGATAGTGAAAATTTCCCTCCAAGCAGTCGGAGTTTCGGCAGCAGACAACGGAAAGTCATGTCCGTGATTAATGGACCCCCATGCCTCGTGTTTTCAGGCCCTCTTGATTACAAAACATTTTCAAAAGCGTTTTATTAGACTAGCTAGTTGTAACCGCAAGGTCCAATCAGAAGGATCAGTTTTAGGTTTGTGCCTGCCTTTTATGACAAAGTCACAAAAAACCTCGGAACGTTCTGGCAGGTAAGCACACAAAAGTTAGAATAGAACCAAACTGCAAAATACGACCCATCCAGAGGAGTCTTTTTTATAAGACAATCATCATTTTATCACTAAGTATCGACAAAATAAAAGTTGCCGGACAACCGTCTGAATGAACCGTACAACCCCTTTAAATGTTTTTTTTTTAAAACTTTTTAATAATTTTAGAGGCCGGAGTTCCGGGAATATACAGCAGGGTCACTTCCGTCATCAACTGGATAAAGAAGTACACGAACGATTAACTCGACCGGTACTCCAATGAAGTTACGAAAACCGCATTTCCCGTTTTTCTCCTTAGCTTCTTATGATTCAAAGTTTGGTTCCCCCTTTACACAAACATTTCTTCAAAAACCTTAGAGGTTGGGAAATACACATATTAATACAGTGCTGGGCTTATGCGTATATATGTGTTTTGTGGCTCAATCTTGAGCCATATCCGCAGTCGCACAGCAGAACATTATTCACAAAGACAGAGGAGACTGGAATGACAATTTCTGGCCCAGTGGTTAGAGGCGCGGGCTTCTAACTAACAGGTCGCGAGTTCGAGCCTCGGGTGTTCCACACTTCGGGGTTGGGTATGACTCTCTAACGACGACGACTAATAAGCCAGAAATGGCCATTCCAGTCTCCCTTGTCTTTGTCGGTAATGCCAATTTCTGGCTTATTAGCCGTCATCGGCCAACAATACCCAACCCCAGGTTTTGCAACTCCTGAAGCTCGATCTCGCTACCTGGTGGTTAGAAGTCCAACACCCTGAACACTGAGCAACGGGTCTGTCGTCCTGTGGGTTGTGATCAAGCACACACAATAGTAGACGGGCGCTCTCGACCGCGTCACAGAACCCACCCGTCCCACTTTGTGCCTTTAGGCTCAATCTTGAGCGGGTGGTTGATGACGGCTAATAGGCCAGACATGGCCATTCGAGTCTACCTCGTCTTCATCGGTAATGACAATCTACATCTACTATTAGCCGCTGTACCGCTGCTGGTGAGGCTCAAGATTGAGCACCAAGATGCACAGCGGAACGAGTGTGTTCCCTAACGCGATCGGTGAGCGCCCCTCTACCATTGCGTATTCCTGACGGCCCCCCAAACTGGCCACGTGTTAGATGCGCTGGATCAACACGGGGGGCCACATCGGATTCTGACAGGCGTTATCTTGGCGCAATAACAACTGCCGACATCTAGGAGATGCGCTGGCAGACCCTGCTGTCGGCAGTTGTCGCACAACTGGACCGCTGCCATCATCCCATTGTTTGTGGGTTACAATCCCCGCCATTTGTTGAGAGGACCAGGGGGTGCGGAGCGGAGCGCCAAGGTAAGAATCCGTCTAAGCCATCCACCCGCGGCCTCCCTCTCTGTCATAACACCGGGCTCAGGTGGGGGAGGAGGAGAGAGTGCGGTAAATGCAGCGCAAGTCTACTGGCACTATAAACCCCTGCGCAAGTCACCGTCCCTGTTCCCACCACTTGCTGTAGGGCACACGGTGGACATCATCGAAATCGACGGTCGAACTACCGTATATTCCTGCTCGAAACCGACGGGACAGCAGATCCGTGGTTAGGGCGTTGCACGTATAACCAACAGGTCGAGAGAACGGGCCCCAGGGGAGTGTAAGACCGGGGAATGGGCATGACTGTTTTATGACACCTAAGAAGCTGGAAATTTCCATTCCATTCCCCGTGTATGTGAACGTCTGGTGCAATGGACGAAACGCTGCTGCGTTGGACAAGTAACTGTGTCACACAATCTGTTACTGAGCTAACTTTCGAATACACTTACTCAATAGCCGCATCAGACGAGTGACCGGCTTAGACAATGGACTGGTACCTGTGGGAGGCAAGAGGGAGTAAGATCGGTTCTGAGGACTGCGACCCCACTGCACTCAGCGCACATTTCCCAGTATAAATAATCTGGCGTGCCTGAATATATCAGGATGCGCTAAAAGCCGTGGTTTGGAAGGCTGCCGACTTGATTCTCCTCGCAAGATGGGAAGCCGAGCTTCAGTGGCTCATTCTCAATGTGACCGGCGACAGTTCGACCGTCGATTTCGACGATGCCCACTGTGTGCTACACAGCTAGGTGCAGCGGGCACGGTGACTTGCGCATGAACGAGTTTATTATGATAGTAGACTTGCACAGCATACGCCGTACTCTCTCTCTCTCTTCCCCACTCCTCATCTGGACTCCCTGTCAAAACAGTCAAAAAGACCGGAGGCGGCGGGGGGGGGGGTACGGGTGGCTGACACGGACGGACCCGCACCTAGGCATGCCACCACATCCCCTGGTCCACAACGTACAATTGACCAGGATTTTTCACCAACACAACGCCCAAACAGGGGGTCAGAGGGACGAGGATGACTGGGTAGCCATGCCCACCACCTGCATATGCAGCGGGAGTGCAAGCGCATCCACCGGCAGGGAACCACCCTCACCATCTCAGGTGGGTGAGGGGGGAGAGAGTGCAGCAGACGCTGTACAAGTCTGCCATGTATACTAATACACAAGTCGCCGTCCTAGCGCCCGCCATGATGTGGGGCATACGATGGACACAGTCGTTATCAACAGTCGAACTGTTAAGTTTAGTTTGATCTGTTTCGGTTAAAAAAAAAACCAGTAAACGTGCGCTGCACGCGTTAGGCAGCGATTTCATGCCACCTCAGCCACTGCGCCCAACATCAGCTCCAGTCAGAGGGGTCCGATCCT